TAAACAACATTATTATCCTTCTGTAATAGCAAAAGCAGTGGTAAGACTAAAACAAAAATTGCTAACTAACAGTAGCTTGGCATGTACATCATACAAACAGTAAATGTTTATGTAGATGCTCAACCATTATGCTAAGAACTAGAAACACAGTACCAGCATTCCAAATCATATTAGAACTAACACAAATAAGCAAGCAAGTAATTTTCAAAAAAAAAATTTATCAATTTATTTATTGCAATTTGTAAACGAAATGCAAAACTAAGGGAAAAAACCATAGACATATTCAAATTAATCACAAAATCGCAAAGAAACTGCTCAACGAGCTTCGAATTTCGACGATAATCAAACCGAATCATAACAATATGATTCGGCTGACCTTGAAATGGTCTCTTCGTTCTTCTTAAGCTCATCCTTGTGAGCCTTCTCTCGGATCTGGTGCAGCATGTGGCCATGAGCGTCTGAATAAAATTATGGCTCAGAAGCTGTGGGTGTTCTGCTCGTGAATCAGACGAAAGCCTGAGAAAATGACGCCGTTGAGGATTGGAAATTCGAAATGGAGAAGAGAAATTGAAAGTGAAAGAAGCAACGAGGAAGACGACGAACCTAAGTCTTGGAAGAAGAACCGATAAGAGCGTTGCCTAAAGCATCGAAAGGATTGGCGGAAGAAGATGAGCCTGGAGCCGCACAAGCTGCTCCACGAGTCATGAGCGCATGCATCACCATGGTCGATGCTCTTCTTCTTCTTATTCCTCTTCAATCTACAACATAATTGTTATTAAATAAAAGATTTATATAAAAAAAATTAAGTCGACTGTTTCTTAAAATTGCAAAAGGGCAAAACCGTAATCCAATATAACTGTTGAATTGAAAAAATCGACAGATGTCGATTTTTGGGTTTATTTTGGGTGTGTTTATATACATTAAACAGTATATGGTTTATTTATAGTTTTATGTCTAGGAATGGGTATTTAACTAATTTACCATGTCAAGATCAAACATAATCAGACAGAAAGACGCAACATGAGCTAGAGCTGGGCCATTAGAATAGACTAGACACACTATTGATTCAAAACTCAATTATCAGCTTCCACTTTTCTATGTAATGTGCTAATTACATTCATACACACTTGATTTAGAGTGAATCATTCATACCTACTGCCTAGCTAATTAGAACCTATAAGATCGCATACCGAAAAGGAATCGATTGGGAAATTATGAAGAGAATGAATGATTTTGTGACTTGGTCAAAGTCAATGTGAAAGTCAAAGGTTGTAATACCCCGAAAAATTTAAGGTGGATTTTCATATTTTAGTGAAAAATAATATAATGGTGGAGAATGATTATGGGTATTTTTATCAAGAGATTTTGGATTGAGATTATTAAATTAAGTGTGTTTAATTTGAAGTTGGACAAAAATGACCAAAGTACCCCTAGGTGTGATAGATTACCAAAATACCCTTATAGAAAAAAAAAAAAGGAGGCAACGTGTAAGCCAAGCATTTCTTCCCTCCTTCATTCTTCCCCCCTTCCCACTTACTTGGTCTTAAAAAAAAAAAATCTGATTTTGGATGAGTTGTAAACCTATGGGGGTGAGTCACCTAGTCTAGCCTAAGATTCTTTCTCATCCTCTTCTTCCCATTCATTGAATCATCACTCTTTCTTAACTTGATGACTCACCTAGCCTAAGGCTTTTCAATCATAAAATTCACTCTTATCTTCATCATTCATTGTATCATCCCTTTCTTCCTCATTCACTTATCTTCATCCTCATTTTTCTTTTGTTCCTCTTCAAAATCCAAAATTCGTCACTTTCTTGAAGCTGCTGAGAACTCATATTTCGGAAGCTCAAATGAGAAACCTTCCTTCATAAAAGTTGTTCATTTCCATGATTCCTATAACATACTCAAATTTCAGCTCAATCCAATTAGTATAGGCTCTGAAACGTTGGTATGATCACAATGAGTTTACCATTTCCTGATTTCACAGCAGTATGCTCGGTTTCAGTTTGTTTCTGTGCTTTCATGTACTCAAATGACTTTGGTTCCTTCATCAAAGTTGTTTGAAATGATGTCTATTATAACATATCAAAATTTCAGATTAATCGGACTTCTCTAGCCATCTTGGGAACGTTTAGAGTGGAACTTGTTTATAGTCTTCGACCTTAGTTCCTTTCCTCGTTTTCAGTCCAAAACACTCATATCAAAAGCTCACAACACTATGGTTTCTTCATGATAGTTACTCCAAATTCTCCTCTTTATAACATATCCAAAGATTATCCAAACACAACCATTATAACTCTCTAAAAATTGGTATGAACAAAACTTGTTCAATTGATTATGTTGAATCTCTTGTTATAGATATGTACTTTCTCTCAAATGGCTTATCTTTCAATTGCTCAAATTAGCCACTATCATCTCAAGTAAATGATTCTTTGAAGGGTTGAAGCTCTTCTTTTTATTTTCTTTTTGAGTACTAGTTTTAAACCAAGTGTGGTTAGAATGCCTCAAGTATATATATATCTTTCAAAGTGTGTTTTTGTGAAGTTCTAGATTATTTCGATGTGATTTTTGTTCCTATTTCATTTTGGGATTTTGGTACATCAAAATGAATATCTCAAGGGTTATTTCAAAGTTGGTTTTGTGCCATTT